CTAATGGAGGCCAAACTGGGACACAGGGGTGCGCAGTCCCCCAAGTTTCATCCTCTATGTATTGAAATATAGGTGGAGGGGCCTCGTCTGCCCAGTGCCATATCCCATCCTGCAGGTCCCTGCATCCTAGGGGTGCACAGAACAAGCCTTTATAATTTGCTTGCAAAATACGTTGTGGTCTTTGTGGGTGAAAGAGCCCATCTGGCACCAGGGAGGGCAGAGCCTGGCATTCCTGGGGTCAGCAGGATGTTCGTTGTGGACTTCGGGGTCGAGTTGTTCAGAGATTTGAGCCACATTTGGGGCCGGATTTTAAGCCCTGCATGTTTGGGATAGGGGGATTTAGCTCAGGGCAGGCACTGGCCTTAGAGCGAGATGATAGTGGGGCTAGTTGCAGTGGGTAGGATGCTCTCAGGGTACCAGACCTCGGTGCGGTGGGTATGGGGACCTATGGCAGTAGCGTCCCTGGGACCTGGAGAAAGCCAGAGCAATGGGGCAGCTGCCTTGGGAACCCCCACAAAATGACCTCTTCTGACTCTTGTGTCTCCATCCAAAGGGGAAGGGCTTATTTGCCACCAGGAACATCCATAAAGGGGAAACGATCTTCATGGAGAAGCCCGTGGTGTCTTCCCAGTTCCTCTGGAACGCGTGGTACAACTACAAAGGTAAGGGCGCTCCTGGACCTGAACCCCCCCAGGACCATTTGCTGAGTGGGGTGATGCAGCCAGGGAAGGAAGCAGGGACCCAGATATGACTGTGCCTTAGTCTTGCCCATGGGGGAATGTCCTCTTGCTTATATTGAGCCTTAAGTATATTTTCCTGTTGGCTTACAGGCCACATCAGGGCTAGAAGGCTGCACATGGCCGTGTTCAGCCTTGGGTCCAGATTAAGCAAGGTGCTGGTAGTTTAGAAGAGCAATGGTAGGGCTGGAAGGGACCTCAGGAGGTCCGCGAGTCCACCTTCCTGCTCAGGGCAGGATTCGTACAGTAAAGACAGATGTCCGTGCTGAAAATAATTGCTTTTATGCCATCCGTACACCTCAGCTTCGGGGGGGTGTAAACCCTCTTTCTGTAGGTATTGCGAGTTATGATATGTCTCCTCCAAATCATTTTGGAAATCAAGCGAGGGATGAAAAGAGCAAGGTGATCACCAGGAAGATGTGATGTTGAGATGTGATCTCTCCTGGCCATCCTTTCCCTTACCCCAGCTGGACCCATGCAAGTGCTTTCCAGAGTAGGGAGCCTTCCCAAGCTCTGGTCTTGGACCGCTGACCAGAAGAGAGAAAAATGCCGATCCCAGGAACCCTGATGTGATTCGAAAGCGGGATAAAAATCACTGCTCAAAGAAGCTGGGAGCCCATGTTGCTTTGGTCCATCTAGATCGGGGTGGCCAGCGAGTGGCACAGGTGGCCTCAGCGCGTGGCATGTGGCAGACTGGGGTGGGGAGCAGAAAGCAGAGCAGCAGATAGGGCAGGGAGCAGAAAAAGCAGCAGATAAGGCAGGGGAGGAAGATCGGAGTGGCACTTGGAGAGGGCGTGTGGCTAATTTATGGCATGCCTACCAAAAAGGTTGACTCCCTCACTGGTCTGGGTGATGATGTTAGTGAAACCTGTTGTGGTTCACGGCGTGGCTGTGCAGGGCGCCTTTTGTCCCAGCAGCCCCTGAATGCCTTGCAAGGCTAAACAACAATGAGAGCAGATGAGAAGAGACCGTCGGGGCTTTCCACTGGGGCAAAAAGGGTTTCCAGCTCAGATCTGCAGTGAAAACAAAGAACCAAGAAGGTGGGGAGAGAGGTCGGCAGCCTGGGAGAGCAGGGGCTTTGCATGCGGGGATGTTTCTGAACACATTGGTATTAGGGCCACGAGCCAGGAGCCGGATGAGGCGTGGGGCAGGGAAGGCTGGGATGTTTTGTGCCCAGTGGGTTTGCAGTCCAGACTCGAAGCTATTGCCAATCAGGTTGTCTCCGCTGCAGTTACTGGAGCTGGTTTGCAGTTACTGGAGCCAGGCTTTCTAGAAGGAGAAGCCCTAAGCCCAGGCCCGCTGGGTCTGTCCTCTCTCCCCCAGCCTGCGATCACTGCCTGCGGGCCCTGGAGACGGCGGAGGAGAACGCGCAGAGGCTGCTGGGGAAGAGCTACCAGGTGCTGCCTCACCCGGAGCAGTGCGGCATCCGGAAGGACTTGCATCAGCAGTGCCCGCAGTGCCAGGTAAAGCACTGGAAACCTCACTGGCTTTCTCAGGGGGGTGCATTAAGTTCTTGATTGAGACAGCAGCTGGCTGGACAGGACCCCGCTGGGCCATTTAGCCTAGGGATACGTCCCCCTCTGCAGGGTAGCAGCCTTCAGCTTCTGTCCGAGGGAGGAGTCCCCTTGGTGCTTTTGCTGCCCCTGCTCTTCCAGGCTTGATGCTTTGCACTAGAGCAGTGGTTTTCAACCTTTTTAGCCTCAAGTCCCCCTTGGATAGACTCGAAGCCCCCTCGGAAAATGCGGGCTCTTGGTTTTCACTCATTTTTTGACTAGAGAAAAATCCTAGAGCAGGGACGGGCAATGATTTGGGCTGGAGGGCCACTTAAGGAGTTTTGGTGAGCTGTTGTGGGCCAGGGAGTAGGGGGGCTGACCTGGCCCGGTGCCTATTGCAGGGGTGCGCAGGGAGCGGATCATGGCGCTAGCCCCGCACTGTCACCCCCTTGCAATCCTGGCCCCGACCCGCTCATCCTGCTCCTGGATGTCCCTCCCCACTTGCCTGAGGCCCCGTTGCGTTTGCCCGGATGATGCCTGGGAAACCCTGCCTGCCCACCTGCTCCATCTAGCACCATGGATGGGTCAGGGTACCCAGGCAGCGGGGCTGGCAGTGGAGATGGAGACAGGCAGAGTGAGCTGCTGCCACCAGGGCTGTCGGGAAGTCGAGTCTGGCCACTGCCCCACCATGCACCTGTGGGTAGTGGGACCAGGCACAAGCACCACGGCCTGGGCTGCCCCCATGCCCGAGCTGGGCAGGTCCAAGGGACCTAGAAATGGCTGGCCTTTAAGAACGGCCTGCAACCCTCTTCTGCTGGGGACCGTGGGTCATTGTCACCGTTGCTCTTCAGGTGACGTACTGCAGTGCCGCGTGCAGGCAGTCTGCCTTGGAGCAGTACCACCAGGTCCTGTGCCTCGGGCCATCCAGGGAGGACCCCATGCATCCCCTCAACAAGCTGCAGGAGGCCTGGAGGTAGGGGCACGACTATGGAGCGGAGAGCAGGGCTGCCCTGGGAAGAGTGGGGCTGGGAGGGTTTGGAGAGGGGTGTTTGGATACAGCTGAGCCACAACCACTGCAGTCGATGCGGTAATGATGGAAGACGCCCCTGGCCACCTCTGCTCTCCTTAGTGTCACTGTCCTGCCTCATGGTGGCCGTGGGACAACTCTGCTCCCCATATCTCCAAGCCTGCACTGCTGGAGCTGAAGGAGCGTCCTTGCCAGGTCTACAGAGGCCGAGACGTAGGGTGGAGGAGGCCTGATCTCCCCCGCGGGGAGCCGCAGGGCATCTGTTAGACACAGCAGCTCTCTATGGCCATGCATGGGCTTCTGTGGTGAGCTTCATGTCGGCCCTGTGAGGCAGAGGGGCGAGGATTGTCCCTGACTCCAAGCAGAAGACTCGAGGCACAGGGCGGAGGGAGAGGTAGCACCTAACCCCACTTCTTGCACTCCAGTCACATCCTTTACCATCAGCCAACAAGGATTTGCCAAATTTGATAGACATGCAGGGCCCTTGGGAGGTCACAGCTAGTCCAGCGCCTGCTCCAGACAGGATGAGCCCTCTCCGAAGCACCGCAGACAACTGCCTTCTCTGTTGCCCTTCATTGCACCCAGTCTCCTGTCAGAACTGGGCTCTGGGTGCTGCACGGATGTGTAGCAGAAAATAAAGATGTTACAGGCTAAATAGTCAAGACAGAGAAGGGATAGGAAGGGAAGGGACTCGGTACGTTCTCCTGATAAACCTGTTATATCTCAATTAGGTTCGGCCCATCTTTGGGATGGCTGGGTCTCTATAATGCATGAGCACAAATGGGTGGGGGTCTGCTTCTGGAGATCAAGCTTTTCCTTTCTGTGCCAGGACATCTCGGCTCATCTCTCTCTCTGTCTCTCCCTTCCCTTACAGAAACATCCATTATCCTCCAGAGACTTCAAGCATCATGCTGATGGCAAGGATGGTGGCTACAGTCAAACAGGTGCGTTCCTCCGCTTGCTGCTTGTGCGCCTAGGTGCGCTTTTATATCTCCTTTCTCTTTTCTCCCAGCTAACAATGCGGCTTGCCAACCAGGGCAGGAATGACAGGTCCTTGTTGTTAATGAGGTGCAATGCTTGCTTTCCATCTCCACAACTGTTATGTGCTGAGAAAAGGGGCGGCAGAGAAGGACTTGGTTGGTTGGAGATATTTTTGATGAAGGAGCTTGGCATCAGAAAATGCTGGTTCACTGAAAATGCTGAAGCTGCCCGTGGGGGTAGATTAGTCTGGCCAGAGCTCTGGCTGGGATGAGACACGCTGTAGAGCAGCCTGGTGTTGTGGACGTGCACCCGGGTTGAGCAAGACCCTGGTTCAGGTCCCTGCTCTTCTTGGTTTTGACTTAGGATTTGAACCCTGATCTCCCTCGTGCCTGCGAGTTCCCTGAGCTGACAGCCCAAGACTCTTCTGGGGTGGATGCATCTTTCTGATGGTTTTCATTAGACGTGCTTCAGGCTCAGGGCATCTTTCCAGTGGTGCCGGGGTGTGCTCAGCAGCCACTGAACTACCCAGTGCTGGCATCCATGAGTTTGTGTTGCAAAAGCATAGAGGGGCAAAGCGCTGCCTTGCAAGGGGTGACCAAATTTGCCCAGAACAAAAGCTATTGTCCTGCCAGTGCTTCTGTACCCTCTTTCTCCAGCTTCCTTTGCCCAGTTCTTGAATAGTCCGGCTGCTGTGCACTGAGCGTCTGGCCCAGATCTCCTCGCAGCACCCCTCAAGAGTCCTTGTTCTATAGGTGGGGAAACTGAGGCACAGAGTGGCTTGCCCAGGGTCACAGGGGGACACTAGCACTTGAACCTGGATCTCCACACCATCCTTCCTCCCCTTCTTTCTCTTGCACATGCTCTCTTAATCCCGGAGTAAAACATCCCTGTGGAAATGGCAGCATTCAGGTCAGGGTTGCCCACAGATCAGCATCTTCTGCTCCCTGGATCACTTCCATCCCACCTCTCCCAACCTGTCCTAACACCCCCCCACCCCCAGCAAGGGAAGAGCTGGACTGTGAATCTCTGCTCTTTGGTTTCAGGCCAAGGACAAGGACTGGTGGATAAAGCTTTTTTCCCAGTTCTGCAGCAAAACGGCCAATGAAGAGGAGGAGATCATCCACAAACTCTTGGGGGACAAGTTTAAGGTCAGGGCTGTGCTTTCCCTCAGTGCTTGGGGCCTTAAGGGGAATGGTATCCTAGATAAACGGGGCTGTGGGAGTGGGAGACCTCAGGAGGTCACACGGCATCACTCCCTACCCCGGGCAGGAGCCTGGATGAGGGCACCGTGCCCAAACTTCTGGCCTTACAGGTGCAAGGGTTGTTGTGTGGGGTCACCCCTCCTAAATTTCAGAACCAGTGGGGAGCCCCGCAGGCTAAATGACACCTCCGTGAGCCATATCTGACCCATGGGATAGAGGTTGAATACCTCTGGACCCAGAAACTTGCCGGGAAGAGGCTCCTCCCAGCCCTGCTGCGTGAGGGCAACTTGTGAGGATCCCAGGATTTCTCTCCCATTGCTGTGGAAGATCGCACGCGTGCAAGCCCTCTGCCATGCTGCACCAACACCATGGTCCGGTATTAGGCCAGTGCTGGGAGACAGCAGCCCCGCAACAAAGCACAAGCCTCTAGCAGTTGATGTCCAGGAGAAAACGCCTGTTCTGCTTGGGATACAGCCGGCTGTTGTGGTTGTTATGCCCTGTGGCAGGAGGCTGTTCCATGCTTGGCCTGTGCTGACCTGATACAGGAAGGCCAGGACAGCTGGGAGCGGGCCAGCAAAAGCATGATCTGCTACCCAACAACACCACAGTCTGGTACCCTCAGAGCATCCTACCCAACTGGCCCAGCAAAAGTGGCTCTTGGCCTAGGGTGGGGGGCTCAGACCAGGTAGCCTGGTGGGGAGGGGCAGTGGGACAAGGGACCCTTCGGGCTTCCTCCCTGCCCTGACTGTGCTGCTTTGCCCCCCCAGGGCCAGCTGGAGCTCCTGCGGCCGCTCTTTGCAGAAGCCCTGTATGAGGAGCGTCTCGGCAGGGTGAGTGGGGAGCTTCTCTTTGCAGAGCCCTTGGGGTCCCAGAGCAGGGACAGCCCCTTCATTGCCCTTGTCCCTCAGCCCCCCCGCAGCCTGTGCTTCACAAGTACCGTGCTCCGCTTCCCTCCTTCCCGGCTGCAAGGAGAAGGGAGAATCCCCCTGAGCCCATCGCTGCCTTGCCTCAATCGGGCTGGCAGGGGCCCGAGCCCTAAAGGGATAAATTATTCAGGGGAGGGGTCATAGAGGTATCCTCCTGCCCTGCCTCTATGTGGAAGACACTCGGTATCCCCCCCTCCCCGTGGTTGCAAAGGTAACCTGCCGCAACGCAGCAAGATGGGCATCTGCCTTGGTGACAACGGGACCCGGAGAGACCAGGGCTGGGTGGGCACCAGCCAGTCAGTCCATCCCAGACAGCTGCAAATGCTGGGAACGGGGAGAAATTGTCTAGGGAAGGCCGGCGGGGCAGAGAGAGCAATGGGGGGGAGGAAAAGGGGAGACCAAGTGTGAGTGCTCTCCTGACCCCGGGAGATGGAGGAATAGCTTCTCGTTGCTGGAGGAGTTTACAGCTAGGCCGGCTAGGCATCCAAAGACCCTTTCTTCCTGCTGGAGACCCTGCTGGAAATGAGGCTGTGATGCTCCATGCCTCAGTTTCCCCGGGGTAAGTCCTCTCCCGGGGAGTGCCTTCTCCCTGTGGTATCCAGGCCTCCGTGGCAGGATGATGAAACTAGGTCCCAGAGGAGCCAAGACCCCTTGTTAATGGCCCCAACAGCATCGGTGAATGGTTCCTAGGCCTCCTCCCTCAGTCCCCCACCTAACGCCAGTGACCGCATGTAGCATACGAGGGGGCAGCGGTCTTGCAGCTTGCCTCACCTGGTGCATGTGTCTGTCTCTCTTTCCAACAGTGGTTTACTCCTAAAGGGTTTCAGTCACTCTTTGCCCTGGTAGGCACCAACGGCCAAGGCATCGGGACCAGGTAGGGCATGACAGGCCTGTTGCATCCAGGGATGATGTGCAGCGTTGGTGAGAAGGCAACCTGGGGTTGCAAAGCTCTGGAGGGGGCAGCACTTAGAGGGCTCTTCAGGGAATCAGGAGAAATTATGCAGGGCCCCAATGCCTGATAGAAAAGAGGGAAGAGACCCTCGGCGTCTCTGGGGTTCTTTGAAAGACCCTTCATCCCGTAACCTGGGCTGGGACTCGCATCCAAACCCCTCCTGGAGGCGCGAGCCACCTCAAAGCTGGTGGCTTGGCACTGGTGGACGGTTTAATCCTTTGAGCCCTGGAAGCAGGAGGTGCTCGGCCTTTGAGTGGGGTCTGTGCTGAAGAAGGTGAGCGACGGCTAAAATCCAGGCCGCTGAGCACGATCCCTTCCTGTGCTGTCAAGGACGCGTGTGTTCA